AACACATGGAATACCCCCCACAGGGCCCTAGCTCCCCCCTAGAGGGCCACATCCCCTATCCCACACACAACCCCAGCCCCCCCGCCCAGCTCCCCCTGGAGGGTCGCAGCCCCCCTGCCCAGGGTCCCAAGCACCCTGGAGGGCCACAGCCCACCCCCACCCAGGGTCCCAGGCACCCTGAAGAGTCACACCCCCCCTGCCCAGGGACCCAGGCACCCCGGGGGGCCACAACCCACCCGCCCAGGGCCCATAACTTACCTTTAGCAGCAGCAGCAGGAGTGGGGCGCTTTGAGCCATGGTGGCAGGACCCAGCGTAGCATGCAAGGACCACATGCTGGGCCCAGTCAGGTCCTGGGGCCCCTCTGCCGCCTGGCTGGGCTGGGCCATGATGGCAGGACCTGGCGCAGCACACAGGGACCGTGCACCACACCCAGCCAGGTCCTGCCACCCTTGGTGCCCCTCTGCTGCCTGGCCAAGCTGGGCCCTTGGTGACAGGATCTGGCGCAGCACACAGCAGAAGCAGCCCCAGGGCCAGTAGGACCTGTCTGGGCATGGCGCGCAGTCCCCATACACCTCACCAGGTCCTGCTGCCATGGGCCCAGCCTGGCCAGGTGGCAGAGGGGCCTTGAGGGTGGCAGGACCCAGCTGGGTATGGTGCGCAGTCCTTGTGTGCTGCACTGGGTCCTGCGTACAAGGGCCCAGCCCAGCTGGGCAGCACAGCAGCCCCAGGGCCAGCAGGAGTCCTGCTTCTGCCACACTGTGCCTGCAGGGGGGGGTGGCATGCAGTGGGACCTGGGCCAGCCCGGTGTGACTCGCTGATCCAGCTCTAAACCAGAGCGGGTCACATGGCTCCGGGAGGCACAGGTCCTATGCGCATCTCCTGGAGCCCTGAGACCTGCTCCAGTGCAAAGCCGGACTAGCGAGCTACATGGGGCTGGGCTGGGTCCATACTCTCTGCAGCTCTGGGGACATTCCCTCTGCCACCCCCTCACCCACCTACACCCATGACCCACACCATGACCCCCGACCCCACACACACACACACACGCACACACACACTCGGACAGCGCCGGGGGCCGGAGGCAGCAGGAGAAGAAAAGAGATGCTCTGGCTGACACCAGAGCATCTGTTTTGGAGGACTCACTCCCTGGCACGGTCTGCGACCATGCCTTGCTCCGCTCTTCTATGGAGCAGGTTTTTTTAAACCCCTGGATATCCAGGGGTCTAATTTTCTCCCTGCACTGCAAGTTTGCAGCACGGAAAACCCTTTTTTGTTCCCACATGTGCCTCTTGTCCCACCTCAAAGGGGTTTAAGACAGGGCAAGGGGCACGTGCATGTTCGTCTGGAGGTGCCCAAGGTGTTGGTATTATGTCTCTGGGACCTGGTAGGTATTCATGGAGCTGTTCTTAACTGGTTTGGCTCTTTCCTAACCGGGCAATCCCAGAAAGTGGGGATGAGCGAGTGCTCATTTTCTTCTCAGGACCTTTCCTGTAGTGTCCCCCAAAGCTCCATCTTGTCACACCTCCTGTTCAATGGGTATCTGAGGCCCTAGTTAAAATCATGCCAAGATTTGGAGTGAGGTGCCATCAGCATGCTGACAACACACAGCTCTATCTCTTCTTTTCATCCAACTGAGACCCTGAAGTTTCAGGCCTTTCAGTATCTTGCTACAGTTGGGGATTGGATGCAGATGAACCAGTTAAAGCTGAATCTAAACAAGACAGATGCAATGGTGGTGGATGGACCTCATGACTTGGAAGAGACAGGGACATATGTCACTGATGAAGTTCAGCCTCCCCTTGTCAATCAGATCTTCAGCCCTGAGGTGCACCTGGATCCCTTGCTGTACCTAGATTACCAGGTTGCAGCGGTGGCTTGGGGCTCCTTACGTTAATTCTATCTGGTGAAAGGTCTGCAACCTTTTCTTTCAGATTTGGATCTGGCCACCATCATCCATGGTTTTGTAACCTCAAGGCTTGAATATTGCAATGAATTCTATGTTGAGCTGCTTTTGAGGACATCCCAGAAGCTGCAGCTGATGAACAATGTATCAGCCCACCTTCTGATGAGAGTAGGTCATCAGGAACACATTACTCCAGGGCTCTAGAGTCTGCACTGGCTTCCAGCAGCTTCCTGGGCATAACTCAAGATGCTAGTTTTGATCTATAAAGCCCAAAATGGTCTGGGTCCTATGTACCAATGGGATTATTTCCACCTTTATGATCCATTTTGATAATTAAGGTCAACTGGAAACAACCTCCTGCAAGTACCATCTGTGTGCCAAATTCACTTGGCCAAAACACATTGGCATTCTACCTGGGCAGGCACACAATTGTCTACCTGGATTGTTTGATGCTGTGCTCCACCTGCTCGTGGCACTGCTCATGCCTGCCCCTCCCCCCATCTCCAAACACTGTGCCACAACAACCATACAGATGTACTTTTTGATATCCCAGAAAAAAATCACTGATGCATTTTACCCTGTACCCATCAGTGGGATTTGCTATGGGACAATGACTAAGTACATCCGTACACCCAAAATTTACCATAGGAGAAATCCCACAACCAATGAGATGTCTGTTCATACCCTTAGCTACTTTGGTGTAAATCTAGAGCAACTCCACTGATGTCAGCAAGGGGGTCACATTAGATTTGGTTTCCAACTTTGGCACAAATCCTGATTCTAGTATACTCTCAATGACACATATGCCAGCTGTCCTAAAAACCTGTGCAAGAGGGCAGAACAGTTAATTTCTAATGCATTAACAAATCCAAATATACCTTTCATGGTAATATAAAACTCAAGCTCTTAGGACAGAATCCTAGCTGTTTTTCATGGCCATATGGCATTTGCCAAGCTATGACATTGCTGTTTTTGGCGCTTAGACACCGTTTACTATCCTACTTCCTCTAAAATAGGGTTGAAAAACAAATATCCACATGGCCATTGAACATGCTCAGTAGGCTGTATTTTGTGTGGTTAGGTACCCAGAATACCCACATATGTGAATGTGATTACATCCCAAAATTGTAACCAGGCAAAACCCATGACTTCTGGGTGGTAAACATTTTTAGATGGTGGAGCCAGGAGGAAAAAGCCTAAACTACAGGTTATGTGGCTCAGGGAGATAGCCCCTGCTTTGAAAAAGGGGTAGACTGTAGGCCTGTGTGAGTAGGCAAGTATTCGATCCAGTTTCGGATCTGGCCGTTTTGGATATCACCGATCTGATCTGGAGCTCCAGATTGATTTGCCACTTCGATCCCGCCAAAGCGGCTCCAAAGCTTCGGAGCCGCCTCAGAGATCCAGGCATAGGGTATAACGGGGAATCAATGAAATATCTATAACTTTGTTGCTTTGTCTCTGATTTAGGTGAAACGTGCAGGAGTGGTAGCCTCTGCTGAGAGCATGAAGCCTGCCAAGTGTCAAGAAGATAGGTATAGGGGTCTGGGGAGAAATGCACCCCAAATTCTTGAAAGAAAAACTTCTGTCACGTCTATGTGTTACAACACAGTGGGGTGAAAACTGCAGGGGTGGTAGCCCCTAGTGAGGCAACAAAGCATGCCAAGTTTCAAGAAGATCGGTGCAGGGGTTTGGGGGGAACTGCACCTTGAGCTGCTAACAAGAAAAACTCTTGACACAGATGACCCTGTGTGTGTTTCATAGATTTCATAGACATCAGGGCTGGAAGGGACCTCGGAAGATCATCGAGTCCAGCCCCCCGCCCAAAGGGCAGGAAGTCAGCTGGGGTCATAGGATCCCAGCAAGATAAGCATCCAGTTTCATCTTGAAGGTGTTCAATGAAGGCGCTTGAACCACCTCCGGTGGCAGGCTGTTCCAGACCTTGGGGGCTCGGACAGTAAAGAAATTCTTCCTTATGTCCAGCCTGAAAC